AAAGTTACATACATTTATATGTGCACGTAGTTACCTATTGAACAGAGATAATATTTTTTTATGATTGAACGTTTGAATATAAGAATGTTTCTTAAGGATTCCGCTAATGGTTTCAGAGCTCAAAAGTGTTCCTTGACCAAAAAAAAAGTTTGGGGAACGCTGCTATAGTATTGGTGTAACATTTCACTAGTTCAACTCAATGCACACTTGTCTGTTTGTCATGTTTGTTGAATAAGCTGCACTGCGATCGACAGGTCTATTTATATTTATTAAATGAATAAAAACCCTATAACCCGAACGCTTTCGAAAGGTGGACCTTTCTTCTTCAGGGGCAAACTGAAAAGGCTCGGGTTATAGATTTTTTATTCATTTCTATCAAGACTTCTTGAACCTACGTATTTTTCTAACATCATGAATATATTTATGAGAAACATCCAAAAACAATGCACAGTGGCGCCCCTGGTGGCAAAATATGACATTTACATCCGTATAATACCTTTTTATACCGCTAGGCAATTTCATATTCCTACACCGTACCGTTACAGGAATATAGTAAACTGAACTGCAAAATTTTCTTTATAATCCCATTTTACAGCCATTTCTATTTTGAATTTGTCATGATATTTTATGTTCTCAACAAACTGAATTTTATAACGTTTTATTGTTTTCTTTCTACTGTGGCTGAATAAATCTAGTAATAAACCATCAACAAGATACTTAATTTGTTCAAGAACAACAGTTGGTTGTTTAACGCTAAAACTACAGCTGGGAAAATCTTTTTTTTTTAATTCCATGTGTAAAAGGTCAAAATTTACATAAGCAATTCCGTTTAAACTATAGTATCAGTGGAACTAACCATCAGATTAATACTTCTAATAAATATAAGTGATTTTTGACTCTTAAAACACAGTGTTGAATAGTTGCGCAAGGACCAGGGGAGCAATCGTTCCTCCGTAGGTTTGTATAGAGAGGGTAAGTGGGAACGGCCACCCTCGAGTAGAGGAATTTCAATGAGACCAAAACAACAACGAAATTTCATTTAGATATTCTAAATTTCAATTCATTAAAATAAAAAAATAAAAACTTATACATTATATAGAGTCACTAGTTACTTAGTAACAGTACCCTTCACGTGTTAGGTTCACGTTTCTTGAAATAGTAACAATACCCTTCACGTGTTAGTTTCACGTTTTTTGAAATAGTAACAATACCCTTCATGTGTTAGGTTCACGTTTCTTGAAATAGTAACAATACCCTTCACGTGTTAGTTTCACGTTTTTTGAAATAGTAACAACACCCTTCACGTGTTAGTTTCACGTTTCTTGAAATAGTAACAATACCCTTCACGTGATAGTTTCACGTTTCTTTAAAGATGCACTTCCTAGCAAAAAAAAAAATATTTTTCATTACTGTTATAGAATTATCGTACAAATAGTTATTGCTAGGATTGCTATTATGTAAAGGGTTCACTAGATGGCAGCACTATCTTATATGTTTAATGAGGTTTTATGAATATTCTCCTGAGTGCCAGGTAAAAATCACTAAATACAAGAATTTGGTGTTTTACACTGGTTAAGATTAATTATGTCCTGCTCCGGAACTTCAGAGCTTAGTTTAAATATTTTGAATACTTAATTAATTTATGATATGAAACTAGTTTAACGGATTCAGAAGAAGACTGTTAATCTTTAGGTGACAGAGTAATTTGTTGAACACTGTTCATATCTTACAACAGAACTTCCAGGACAGAAGACATAATATCGTCAGTAGGTTTTCGAATAACCTAAATTCAGTATACATATTTGTTTAACATTTTATCTTTTTATTAAGGGCCTTACGAAATGAAAATTCCCAACAGGGAAAATATATATATATAAATTAGCGTTTCCCAAAGTGAGGGGCGCGTCTCCTCAGGGTGGCACAAATGATCTTTTGAGGGAGGCGCGAGCGATTAGGCTACAATAAATAGTGTAAAATGCTAAATTAAGTGTTTTAATATATTTTTACGTAATAAAAATAATAAGTAATTACTACATCACATATAACATTTTAATGTATATATATAATATATATTAAATATATTATATATTATATTATATAATTATAATTTAGGTATATGTCGTCACTTAACTCACTCTTTCATTCATTTAACTTAAGAAGGGGGCGCAAAAAATATATTTCTTAAAGGGGACGGTGGATAACAAAAGTTTGAAAAACACTGATCTAATGACACAATACGGAGTTGTAAATGTTATAATTTTGTTGTTATTCTTATGTCTTATATTTCAATCTATGTTTGTCTAGTGTAAGGTCTTATCTTTATATGTATTTATTACTATCTTGAATTTAAAACGTTTAGGTTAAGCTAGTAATTAGCATTAATAAGAAAATTCAACGGGATAAGGCTAGTTAAATAAAAGTTAAACAAATCCCCTCCTGATTAGAAAGATATACGACTAAGACTAGAAAAAACCCGATTAAAAATAGGCTCAAAAACTAACAAAACATAATCCCAATTAGATAACTTTTCAAGAAAATAAAAGTGTGTTTAAAACTAGTAAAACTGTGCGAGAAATAACGATAACCTGAGTGATAAATGATTATCCTGCTCCTACAGAAGTTTATTGAAAATGAAAACTACAAGTACATTCCAGCTTGCTATGAAAATTTGCGGAATACGACTATGAGATATGACCACTATATATTGTACATTTAGGAAACTTTGGTATATTTTGTTGTTTGTTTCAAAATTTCGCTAAAGTTACGTAAGGGTCATCTATAGACGTCGCTTATTGTGAGCTTATAAGCTAGAAGGCAAGCAGCTAGTCAACAGCATCAATCGCCAATTCTTGGGCTACTCTTATCTAATCCAATAATATGATTTGACTGCCACTCTTTTAGTGCCCTTTGATCCCAACGTACGAGGTTTTGTGGCAACGGGTCACGAACCATTAATCGACAGATTTACAGATCGGGAACTCTAACCATTAAACCACGTTTGGCCCACGAGAGAGGGTTATTAGAATAGTAAGCCCGAGACTTATTTCCTTCTGAAATAAACGCTACGCTTTATTATCCCACAAAATTCCTCTAAATACTTTCTTAATGTTGCCCGGCATGGCCAGATGGTTAGGGGGCGCTCGACTCGCAATCTGAGGTTCGCGGATTCGAATCCCCGTCACACCAAACATGCTCGCCCTTTCAGCCGTGGGGGCATTATAATGTGACGGTCAATCCACTATTAGTTGGTAAAAGAGTAGCCCAAGGGCTGGCGGTGGGTGGTGATGACTAGCTGCCTTCCCTCTAGTCTTACACTACTAAATTAGGGACGGCTAGCGCAGATAGCCCTCGTGTAGCTTTGCGCGAAATTCAAAAACAAACAAAACTGTTTTAATAAAGTTGTTCTTAGTATATGAAAATCGTTAATTACTTTCGGTTCATTTCTGCGTGACTTTTCGGCCATTTTGAAGTAAAATAGACCCCAAGCGGTTCCAGAGAGTTTGGAAGAACGAAGCTTTTTTAGCCTTTTATCAATATTACTAGTTTTTACCGAGGGGGGAGGGGGCGGAGCCTAACCTCTGATTGCGCGAATTGGGAAAAGCTTTGTTTAAACAGTATGTGGTTACTAGGAGACTGGCTTATTTCTTTTATCTACTCCAGAAACGTCTTTGTTCTATTATGTAGTGAAACCTTACCAAAGAGAAACCTCGCGCTTTATAATTCTCCACTTGTCGCTTTCTTCATGTGAGCTCGCTTCTTTAACTATAGGAAAAGCTGGATGTCATGCTCGCACGCTGTGTTAAACACAGGACGTTGTTCGGACAGCACACGTGACTGTTTGTGTGTGTGTGTGTTTTTTGTTTTTTTTACTGCTAGCGATACTTATTATCTGTGAAAAGTGTTTATGTCACTATGGATACGTAACAAACGTGTCACTGTGATGAGCGAACGAACGGCTTTCTTATATCTTCTAATGATAGGTGTCGCAACGTACGGTGTACGGCAGGAGAACTCGGATCGTAGAGTCGTACGTATGGTGGTACTTGCACCTGATGACAACGCTTTACCGTACTCGCTGTACAAAGTCTTGTCGGCCGTACTGTATGCTGTGAGGAGTCTAGAACGGGACAGTCCGGCCGGGCGATTTATACAAGTTCACCACCGCAACACTCAGTGCTCGTCCACCTATGGTCCACTAGCGGCTTTTGACTTCTATAACCTGGGTCAAGTGGACGTATTCCTTGGACCTCTTTGCCCGTATGTCCTGGCGCCTGTGGTGCGTTACGCCTCGGTATGGGGAGTGCCCTTACTCACGGCCGGCGGACAGAACGAAAATTTTGACCGTAAAAAACCCCATTACACGCTGTTGACCCGCATGAACGGTTCCTACTCTCAAATTGGACAAATATTTATAGAGATTCTCCGTAAGTTCCACTGGCAGATAGTATCGTTCCTGTTTAATAACTTTGACGATAAAACCCGAGGGCATTCTAACTGTTTCTTTACTCTCGGAGCAGTATCTACAACACTTGGTCAACAATCGAACTTCTACAGACAATTTGATGAAACAAGTTCCACCACTGACTACCATTTGCTTCTTAACGAAATGGCCTCACATTCCAGAAGTAAGTTATCTTACCCACATAATAACACGTTTCGACAAGGTTTTGAATCTTACCCACATCTTTCTACCAGTTGTCTCGTGCATTTTCTCCGTTGGTAATCTTTATTCAATTCAGATCCCAGGTAGAGACATTTTATTATGGTTAATGCAGTATAGGTGAAGTGTTCTTTTCTTGTTCCTATAAGCGTGTATAATATTATAGAAACAGACGTTTTCTTTGGCACAATGTGCTTAACTACAAACAAGCAAAGTTAGAATGCGAGGCTTAAACTTATTCAGTTACCAAACTTCTTACTTTAAATATATATATAAAAATATTTGGAGATCTCTCTGATGTTTTGACCAAGTCCAGCCCTTGGAGTAGGCGACGTGTGCTCCGCCCAGGGCGCCCATTACAAGGGGAGCTTAAATCGACATTAAAAAAAGCTTGATAACTCTATGAATGATAAGGGATGGCTGTGAGGGTTTTTTTTAATAGTTTTTGTTTAGTTTAGTGGATGGGGCAGTTTAGATGACCAACAGACCCCCTGTTGTCCCTAAGTGTTATGTTATTCTATGTTCAGTGTTGACTGACTGACGCATGTTTGGGCCTAAGAGGATGAGATCACTAGGGCCAAAAAATGAGCTCAAGTTTTACTAATATGTCTGTTTTTTTTTCAAGTGTCATTCTTTACTAAATCATTTAGTGTTGACAATCATATTATTTCATTAGGTCTATTAAAAACGAAGTTTTAATTTTTACAAAGAGTATAAAAAAGTCAAGCGTGGAGCTTATTTCTTTCTTTCATTAAAGGACGAAAGTGGTAGCGATATTTGTATACTGAAAAAATTTTGCTGGAGACAAAGTGACAATTAATTCCATTGTTTGATATGGTGCTGAGAACAAAGTGACAATTAATTCCATTGTTTGATATGGTGCTGAGAACAAAGTGACAATTAATTCCATTGTTTGATATGGTGCTGAGAATAAAGTGACAATTAATTCCATTGTTTGACGTGGTGCTGAGAACAAAGTGACAATTAATTCCATTGTTTGATATAGTGCTGAGAACAAAGTGACAATTAATTCCATTGTTTGACGTGGTGCTGAGAACAAAGTGACAATTAATTCCATTGTTTGACGTGGTGCTGAGAACAAAGTGACAATTAATTCCATTGTTTGATATGGTGCTGAGAACAAAGTGACAATTAATTCCATTGTTTGATATGGTGAATAGATTTAGCAAGAAGCTGATGGTAATACGAAACTTGATATGAAGAACAGTGGTGTAAATATAAAAGCATCCAAAGTAATTCGTATACCAAATATTAAAACTAAATTCAGGCTTATTAAGTGGCAGGGTATTTACCCAATAGGAAAAGAAATGGAATTTTCTTTAAACAAATGACCCATTTTCATATTTTCTGAACATTTCTACACGCCACGTGCACTGAAGATCAGAGATGAATGGAAGCTAACATTCTGGGCGTGGCATCTTACTACACAACACACGTTGGAAATTGACCATGATGTGTGTAAATATGTATTGATTTCTGTACGAGTTTTTATCTTGTTTTTAAAAAATCTAATTAATTGTTCTTCATGTTTGTTTCAGCTAAGTAAGACAGCTAGAATTCAGAGAAACATGTTGAACGTTTTTATATCATGAAATATTATTTGTATGAAAACGTCGATCGGTGACTTGATAATTGATTCACAGATGCCTTACAAATAGTTTAGGAGTCTCGAAGAAGCCATACAAACCTTTCGTTCAGAAGTCTGAGAAATCCATACACTCAGTCTCTTTATTTCCAGAGCACTTGGCCAAGGTACACGAATTAAATATTTAAAAACACTCTACCAAACAGAAACAGACACAATAGTTTCTCTCTGAAACTAATAAAATGCTTTATTCCCAAAAGCATGCGAAATCTATAGTCTTGTTTAAAAAAAGGTTGACTTCACTATCACCCAACAACAGTTGGAGAGACGACTAAATACGACGATCACCAGGGCAATTATACGCGAATAAGATGAAGACAGTGGCGAGTTTAGTCGAGAAACGACTTCCAAGAATGCCACGTCATTTACGTCAATACACTAATCTCATTATTTAAGAAAGGGAAGGCAGGTTGTATATCTTTGCACATGGTAAATATGCCAGACATTGTGAAAAGGTAGCTAACGAATTTATTAGAGGACTCCCCCCCCCTCAGAGAGGCAGACACCTCTGTATTAGTCCTAGCCGTAACTGACCGTCTGATAATTAGCGATACATTCATTACCTAAGACAGTTGTACTCAGGTTATGCCTCGTCTGCTAATTACCGATTGTAAAATAAAAGCGTTTTTGTCATTAAATAAAATTTTATGAATATTGGAATATCTTTAGCTGCAGCATCTGTTTTGGAAATATATTTGTGATACGAGATTACTGAAACAGATAAACGTATACAATATCATATTGTTTAGTGTAAATATTGACAATACCATATTGTTTGGTGTAAATATTGACAATATCATATTGTTTAGTGTAAATATTGACAATACCATATTGTTTGGTGTAAATATTGACAATATCATATTGTTTAGTGTAAATATTGACAATACCATATTGTTTGGTGTAAATATTGACAATATCATATTGTTTGGTGTAAATATTGACAATACCATATTGTTTGGTGTAAATATTGACAATACCATATTGTTTAGTGTAAATATTGACAATACCATATTGTTTGGTGTAAATATTGACAATACCATATTGTTTAGTGTAAATACTGACAATACCATATTGTTTGGTGTAAATTTTGACAATACCTTATTGTTTGGTGTAAATATTGTTGATTTTGTAATAAATGTCTTGCAATCAAGTAGTAATCACTAAGCCAATCTATTAAATGTTATAATATCGATATGGTGTGGTAGGTTTCATAATGACACGATGTTGTAGGTTTCTATCAACACAGTATGGTAAATATTATAATATCGATATGGTGTGGTAGGTTTCATAATGACACGATGTTGTAGGTTTCTATCAACACAGTATGGTAAACATTATATAATCAATATGGTGTGGTAGGTTTCATAATGACACAATGTTGTAGGTTTCTATCAACACAGTATGGTAAACATTATAATATCGATATGGTGTGGTAGGTTTCATAATGACACGATGTTGTAGGTTTCTATCAACACAGTATGGTAAACATTATAATATCGATATGGTGTGGTAGGTTTCATAATGACATGATGTTGTAGGTTTCTATCAACACAGTATGGTAAACATTATAATATCGATATGGTGTGGTAGGTTTCATAATGACATGATGTTGTAGGTTTCTATCAATAAGGTATGGTAAATATTATAATATCGATATGGTGTGGTAGGTTTCATAATGACATGATGTTGTAGGTTTCTATCAACACGGTATAGTAAATGTTATAATATCGATATGGTGTGGTAGGTTTCATAATGACATGATGTTGTAGGTTTCTATCAATACGGTATAGTAAATGTTATAATATCGATATGGTGTGATAGGTTTCATAATGGCGTCGTGTTGTAGGTTTCTATCAATACGGTATAGTAAATTTTATTATATCGATATGGTGTGGTAGGTTTCATAATGACATCGTGTTGTAGGTTTTTATCAATACGGTATAGTAAGTTTTATTATATCGATATGGTGTGATAGGTTTCACCACCGACATAATATTACAGATTTCACTACGGACATAGTGTTTGTAGGTTTCACTACCGAAATGGTGTTACGGGTTTCACTACCGACATGTCGTAGCAAGTTTTATCATGGACATGATGTGACACATACATATTCTAAAATTTCCGTTGTTAACAATATAGCACATAAATCGCCAGACAAGAACACCAGCAGAGATAAACCAGCTTAGCTGTCAAAAGTTATTATTATCAATATATGAAGTAAACTATATGGCTATCTTCAAGACTACGTGTGGGCCGGATCTTCTGTTATTAAACATGAAGTTTACTAAATGTCTCCTTTAACTGCTAGCTGGGTTGGATCATTTTGAGCTCCCTCTTCACTTATCAAGAGCGAATTTATTACCAAATAATGCCCCCCAAATGGCACAGCAGTATGTCTGCGGACTTACAACGCTAGAATCCGGGTTTCGATACCCGTGGTGGGCAGAGCACAGATAGCCCAATGTGTAGCTTTGTGCTTAATTACAAAACCAAATAATGATCTTTATCTGCAGCCATATAAACCCTGATCTCTTCTTTTCTTCGTCTATAGTTAATACTAAGCCTTAATAAATTAAATGTGTCACCTATTTTCTCGGTATTGGTAATGTTATGTCGGTTTTAATTTTATTTTTATTCATAGCTATTACCTCAGATTCTTTTAAGTTGGTTGATTCGTCACTTTTCTCATTAATCAGAATTAGTTATTTAGATAATTAGTACACTTGATGTCTTATTTACGACATATTCACTTGCGTCTGTTTTAATGAAGATTTATTTAAAGTTTTTGTTTCTTTGTTTTTGTAAAAGGAAACTGATGCACGGGGTGCTTATCTAAAATGAACTTACATTCTTGAAAAAGTTAAAAAATCTGAGGATGGGTGCTATTTAGTCAGCAGGCTAGCAACTTTAGGTAGACAAACCGCTGCTTGAAGGTGTAATGGTAGAGCATATTCTAAGTACCATAAATTCTTTGTTTAATCGTTTTTTGGCACGTTATAAAGGTCATCTTTGCACGTTATGATGTTGTCTGGTTATTCCCAAAATTCATCCCAGTTTCCTTTTAGTGAGAGAGTACGTGGTAATGGTCCAGCGCAATGGATGGTCGCAGTCTTGAATCGTGGTTGTGGATCTTGCTTAGCTTCAGATTTCGATAACACATGTGTATGATACCGCTTCTTCTTATTCCGTTTTTGGTGTACTTCATCCTGACTAAGCAGGGTGTGGCCTAATTGTTAGTGTACTGGGCTGAGGATTGGAAGCTCCGAAATACGATTCTTCAATATGCCACTGAAAATCTTCCTCATTTTCAGCTTTTTTGGGGGCGTTATAATACTGACAGTCAGTTCTTCTATTCGGTTAAGAGTAGCAGCATAGGCGGCAGATGCTGTTCACTGGTTATCTTGCTGTTGGTCAGCAGTTTTAAATTAAGGATGGGTATACATGTTCCCCCTGATCTGGCCCTTTACTCGCATAACGTCCAGTTCAGATTATAAACTACCAAAACACCAAAATTACAAGTATTTTATAGAAAAGTTAATTGTATGGGGTATTGCAAGAGCAGGCCTCGTGGTTAGCGTACCGGGCTGTGGGCCTGATGGTCCAAGTTCGCGTCCTGTTGTTGCAAAATCGCGCTTCTATTCCTACTATTCGATTAGAGTAGCCAAAGATTTTGCATGGCTAGCGCAGAAAGACCCTGAACAACTTTGCGACAAATTCCATCAACATACAAATCTTCACATTAAATAGCTTAAGGTAAGTACCCTCTCTCCCCAAGGCCGTTTTACTCCACACTAGTATTAATGTACATTTTTTTATCCATCTTTAATATTCATGTTATTTTGTACAATTACCATAGCATTTAGATTATTATTTTAATTAAGTTCCTAAATTCAGCGTTATTTAAAAATTGAATTTTGTTATGAATGTGGTGGGTCCCGTTTTTCCTCATCTTGGGGTTCAGTTTTGTCAGCTTATAGGTAAAACGGCCCCCAACCACAAAATGGTATATGTCTAATCCTTTTTTCAACTAGAAATGACATATATAATATAATTGCATTTTTTTTTGGTCTTACCCACCTTTCCTTAAGTGACTTTAAAAATGTATTTGAGAACAAATATTATTTGTTTGTTTTTTTTAAATTTCAATCATTATTCTCTTCCAGTAATTGTCATGTGTGCCTCTCCAGATTCAATTCGGGAAATTCTTCTGGCTGCTGAAGAACTAAAAATGGTGGACAGTGGTGAATATGTTTTCTTTAGCATTGAGCTGTTTACAAGGTAAGTAAATGAAACGGATAAAAATTAGGCAAAATATAATTAATTACACTTGTCATAAGACATTATGTTAGGCCTGTTTTATTTTTTAACACTACATTCTTAATCTGGTTCTTTAGGGATTTTCAAAAATTAGAAGAATCCAAATTAATAGTATTTCAACAAATGGCCTTTATAAATAGTATTCCGATAACTACCGTGTTCGTTGTATCGCAACCGGCCTGAAGAGCTCTGGGTTGAGCGAAAAGCGTCGACGACAAGGAATATGACGAATATTGTGTGGTTGAAATACTCTTCTAATTCTTGAAAATCCCTAAGAATGTTGTGTTAAAAATATAATAGGCCTAACATAATGTGGTATGACAAGTATAATTAACTATGTGTTAAAAATATAATAGGCCTAACATAATGTCTTATGACAAGTATAATTAACTATGTGTTAAAAATATAATAGGCCTAACATTCTTATGACAAGTATAATTAACTATGTGTTAAAAACCTCTTATAATAACACTGTTTACGAATTGCCCACCAAGAATTTAATAAAGTCAATATACCAATGACTGAAAGAAAGAAAACACGAAGAGTCAAGAATTGTTTTAATTTGGACTCCATAAATGGTTCACAAAATGAGGTTACTGGCATTTCGAATGTTTGACCAAAGTTAATGGAGCACATAGAAAACGTTACCTAGACCTTACATTACGTCATATTCGAAATACGTTATCTAGACCTAACATTACGCCATCTTCGAAATACGTTATCTAGACCTAACATTACGCCATCTTCGAAACACGTTATCTAGACCTAACATTACGTCATCTCCGAAATACATTATCTAGACCTTACATTACGTCATCTCCGAAATACATTATCTAGACCTTACATTACGTCATCTCCGAAATACATTATCTAGACCTTACATTACGTCATATTCGAAATACGTTATCTAGACCTTACATTACGTCATATTCGAAATACATTATCTAGACCTAACATTACGTCATATTCGAAATACATTATCTAGACCTTACATTACGTCATCTCCGAAATACATTATCTAGACCTAACATTACGTCATCTCAGTTATATCTTGGAACTGATATCACAAGCACTTAGGATAAACCCAAAATACATGGAAATATATATAATTGTATCATTGCCACACCTTTGAAACTGCGTCACACGGAGGTCGCACGAGCCCAACTAGTGAGTTTACTGTAGAACTAAAATGTAAATGCTTTTATAAACAAAGTTTATTGTATATATATAAAATAATATTTAACAAGGCATATACCGCTTACAGTAATCTGAACAGATTTCTTAATATGCTAGATTATCTTTCTCAGCTATGATATTTTGAAATAGCGAAAAAAAAATTCTAAATAAAAACAAATTATACAAATGAAATAATGCTCATGTAAAGTTTATAGTTATCCATCCGTCAATCTGTAGAGTGATAGACAAAGCAATACACTGAACAGACAGAACGGAATTGATAGATATATTTCACTGTCGTAGTTACAATGGCAATTATTGTGGTGTGAACGTCTTCCACAAGCTGGCGAAGCGTGGTTATAGTTAATTATACTTGTCAGAAAATTTGTTAGGCCTATTATATCATTTTGTTGAAATGGCAATTCGCAAACAGTGTGATTATAAGCTTACATTGCATTAATAATATTGCACCAAAAGAACAGTTGGTCGGTTGGTGTGAAACTCAGAGTTACATAATGGGATATCTATGCTCTACCCCAATTTGTGGCGTTATAATCCCTCAGCCATCAAGGGGGGGGGGGCCTTAAATAAGGAAGAAGTGACGAACTCGTTAACAATCAAGACCAATCTACAGTATTAACCATTTTTGTTAAAGCTCAGTTCTGTTCTTTAGGCTCCTCACTGTTGGCTCAGCAGAAAGTCATTGTGTAGCTTTGTGTTTGACAAAAAAAGACACATTAATACGCAAAAACGGAAATGGATGACTGTGTGATTGTTATAAGTTTACCGAAAGGGATTATGGGTTTGAAACACTCTGCGTCTAAATAATTAAAACCACAATAGAAGATCCACTTCAATAGACTAGTGTTGTGGTTTTAATTACGTTTTTTACTTTTAACGATCCGAAATTAATATCTAATAATTGATCGTATTAAAAATAAATACACAGCGGTATGTCTACGGACTTACAACGCTAGAATCCTGGTTTCGATACCGTGGTGGGCAGAGTACAGATAGCCCATTGTGTAGCTTTGTGCTTAATTACAAACAAACAAACAATCTGTTGTGGTTTTAATTACGTCACTAGTCTGTTCAAGTGGATCTTCTATTGTGGTTTTAATTACGTCACTAGTCTATTGAAGTGGATATTCTATTGTGTTTTTAATTACGTCACTATTCTGTTGAAGTGGATCTTCTATTGTGGTTTTAATTACGTCACTAGTCTAATGAAGTGGATCTTCTGAAAAAAAGCAGACAGAAGAATTTAAGTGTTTCACAAAGAAATTTTGGCATAATCGGGGATTTAACTTGTAATCTTTAATCTACGATAGGCAGATGCTTTCTTAAGTGAATATTTTGTATGCTAATTTCAGTGACTTTTGGTAAGTTTTGCGCTTTTTTTCTTAAAACGAAACCTGAAAAAATAGATTTTGTAAATTGATTAAGAACATAATGTATATACATATGTTTACCACCGCTGTCTATTTCACTTCAAAACCTAGATAACTAACTGTCTGATATATTTCTATGTTTGCCCAGTAAAAATGAAAGTCGACAGCCTTGGTACAGAGAAAACGACACACGAGACAGGAACGAACGAGCCCGTAAAGCTTACGAAGCTTTATTGACTGTAACAGCCCGAGTTCCCGAGACTCCGGAATATGCCGAATTTTCTCGAGCAGTGAAGAAAATCGCTCGAGACCAGTTCGGATTTGATTACGGAAAGGAGGGGGTAGTGTTATCTTTAAAATTGTTGACCTATTTGTAATTTTTTCTAAGTCTGCGACTCAAACATAGATTTTTCTAAGACAAAATCATCTAAAATCATACTGTTTGTTTGCTTTATCGCAAAGCTACACAATGGGCTACCTGCACTCTGCCCACCACTAGACTCGAACCTCAGATTTTAGCGTTGTGACTCAGTGAACTGACCACTGGGTGGACCCAGATCCTGGATCTCCATAGAGCTATACGGCTGCGTTTTATTTATAATATTTTTCTTTCAGTAACTGCCCACTATTCAAGGACTGACATAAAATAGTACCAAGTGGCTCACATATCCACACCTTAACCTCCTTCAAAACTCTTGGAGAAATATTATGTGGCCTAGGATCCTTTTTATTTTTTCAACTTCCCGATTTTTTCTTAACAAGCTTTTAATTAATGCAATCATATTTTCCAACCTTGTTTCCATCTACCAACTGTTCAAGATAAGGAATACTGCTTAAATCTTCATTAGTAAAAACTAAAGAAAAAGCAGAATTTAATAACCCAGAAATCTCATAATCATCAGATACGAGCCTTCTTTTATCATCCCTCAAGGGACCTACCCCAATCCTAACATCTTATTTACCCTAAACATGTTTAAAGAAATCCTTACTGTTAATTTTTATATTCTTAGCCAAAGTTTTCTCATGCATCCTTTTTGATTCCGAATTTCCTGTTTCACCAAATCTCTTGATCTTCTAGAATCTTCTATAATATTCTAAGTCTGCCGTAATTCTTGTCAATTTAAATTTCTTATGAGGCAAAAATTCTTATTTCGATACCTGTGGTAAACAGAGCACAGATAGCCCATTGTGAAGCTTTGCGCTTAAGAACAAACAATTAAAATAATAGAAAATTATCCAAAATTCAAAAATGAATTTTATACAAATACTCTAGTGTACTTCATAAAACGGGGACATAACGAACTTCATAATCTTGGGGTAAAATAATTGTTTTCTTAATCCTGCGACATAAATTTACAAAAGAAACAACTGTTCTAAATTTCTTTATAATTACATATATCATAAAAATAATGAAATATATGTGTGTGTGTGTGTGTGTTAGTGTTTTTTGAATAAAGGGTTTAGACTGGAGACAGAGATTTAAACTAACATTAATTAATGTAGCTTACAACTTAATTGTTGTTGTTCATACAGTTTAACAATATAAATAGCATCTCAACCGCTAATGAGTCTGTCATATACCAGCGACCTAATGAGACTCGGTATTGAACGAAAAGCCTCATCGGCACTGGATATAGCACATATACTGTGGTTGACATATTGTTATACTTTCACGAGCATTATCTATGAATAAGATTTAGAGTAAGCTGCATACACACAGAGTTATTACACCACCATGCCCTTTGTGTTAAAGCTTTTATAACGCTAATACGTAATATATTGAAAGCTGTATAGAATATTCTTGTATTCTATATGAAACGTTATTTTTCCTATGAAATTATGAGTATGATCTGGTTTAACGTGCCTTATCTATGGGTACAGGTGAACACTTTTGTGACAGCTTTCCACGAAGCCGTATTTTTGTACGCTTTGGCAGTGAACGAAACGCTAGCCGAGGGAGGAAGTATTACCAACGGAAGTTACGTCACCCAGAAAATGTGGAACCGGACATTCGATGGTTAGTATTTAAGATCTCCAAATAGTCCAGTATTTTGACGTATTTCCTGATTAATAGAGTACTGTAAAATTCTCTAGAACTATAACGAAAAAAGAATTTAAAATGTTATTCTAAAATATGAAGGAAGCATTTAATTAAAAGGAAAATAGTTTTTATTTAAAGAGTTTTAATAATCTATAAACTCAATATATAGAACATTAGTAATAATGTATAAACTCAATATATAGAACATTAGTAATAATGTAAAAACTTAATACATAGAACATTAGTAATAATGTAAAAGCTTAATACATAGAACATTAGTAATAATGTAAAAGCTTAATACATAGAACATTAGCAACAATGTATAAGATCAATAGATAGAACATTTGCACCAATGTATATGCTTATTACATAGAACGTTAGTAACAATCTGTAAGCCCATTATATAGAACATTAGTAATAATGTATAAGCTCAATACATAGAACATTAGTAACAATGTATAAGCTCAATACATAGAACATTTGCAACAATGTATATGCTCATTACATAGAACGTTAGTAACAATGTGTAAGCCCATTATATAGAACATTAGTAATAATGTATAAGCTCAATACATAGAACATTAGCAACAATGTATAAGCTCAATACATAGAACATTAGTAACAATGTATAAGCTCAATACATAGAACATTAGCAACAATGTGTAAGCCCAATATATAGAACATTAGTAATAATGTATAAGCTCAATACATAGAACATTAGTAATAATGTATAAGCTCAATACATAGAACATTTGCAACAATGTATAAGATCATTAGATAGAACATTGCCTTACAACGCTAAAATCCGGGTTTCGTTACCCGTGGTGGGCAGAGCACATGTAGCCCATTGTGTAGCTTTGTGCTTAATTACAAACAAACAATCTCTAATTTTTCTTCTGTCAATGTCAGGTTCGTGTTTTAGTTCTGTGACATTCTGTTCTGAAAGACTGTGGTTGTTTTTATTCGTATGTTCATGAACTTGGGAAGGGGGTTTTTGGGTATTATTTTAATCTGATCTTCAGTTACGTCTCGTTTCACCTATGTAATGGACTGGATAATTGTTACACTTTATTTTCTAAATGTTTTCTGGTGAGGTGGGTTCGTTACACAATTTTCCTAACATGTGTTTAATTTTCATTCAAGGGGTGAAAATTAATCTAGGCGTTATATTAAGGTTATATTTATGTGCCAGTTGTTTCCAAATTTCTGATAGAGGTATGTTAATATTGGCTTTTCAATTCAGAATAATCTTACCTGTTTATTGCTTAGTCAAACATTTTAATGCAACAAGTATGCTACACGATGGCACAATGTCGTTGTCATTGCGTGACGACAAGCATTCAGACGTCTCTGCATATTCAGCTAAGTTTGTCTTCATTACAACTTTACATTTACTTTACTTTGCAATAATTTAGCTTCGGTTCTTTCATAGACTGCTACTTTTTATCTTTACTACGGGTTTTATTCTTCGTTTTTTTGTGAGTTTCTTTGTTACAACTCGTAAAACCGTGTCATAAGCTGAAGGTTCATAACTGTTTCATACTCTGTACACTATTATAAGTGCCGTTACTTTATTGTTTACTTTACGTGTGGTTGTAATAAATAAAGATATATCTACGTGAGTTTGTTTGTCTGACCACGTAAATTTTTTCAAATATATCAGGAGTTATCGATCTAACATATAATGCCTGCAAGAAAACTTAGCTTAAATGGCATGTGTGAAAATAAGGAAAATTTAAGCGAAGGGTATGAAAACTACCGCAAATTTTTTGCGGGTCGCGACTAGCAAATAACAATAATGTGTTGTTTATTAATCCTAAGCCTAATTATGCTTTGTAAACAACTTTAAATAAAACTGATAATAAGTACTCTTCACTTACTTAATCTCGTTCATACCATAACAGTTGTTGTTAATGCAATTGATGTTATAAATAGATCCTGGACAACAATTATGTCTTATCCCACTTGGCCTGATGAGGCCTGGTATTGTGCGAAAGGTCTCGTCGGCACTGAATATGGGAGATAATATATTTGACATATTGTTACATATTATTTGGAAAGAACGAAGTACACGTTGTACGGTATGTAACAGTTGCATGTGATTTCAACCTCTCTAGATTACTTTGATGACATAATATACGACACAATAATTACAGGAATTACTGGAAAAGTCAGTATTGATGCTAATGGCGACAGAAATGCCGATTACAGTTTGATGGACATGGATCCAGTTACAGGATTATTTGAGGTATTTAACAGTTGTAGCATTTGGAAAATAACCGAAACATTTTAGACTAAACTTACATACATATATAGTGTTAGTTGATGTTTGTAATTGTAGTTTGTTCAGTGTATGTAAAAAAAAATAAGAAGTACACGTTAATCTGAAAGTTTTTTTAAAAAACATTTACTATAGTTTTTAGTTTGTGTAAGTATGAAACTTAAAACTATTTCATAATAAGAAAAACTGTAAAGAAAGTTATTGAAATGAAAAGTCCTTATCGATTTGACTGATATTTTTGAAGAAGGGCAGAATTCTCATTATCTCTCTCTCTAG